AAAAAAAAAAAAAAAAAAAAAAAAAAACGGTCCCCTCGTCGCACGGCATGTGTGAGTAAAAGATGCCAGTTGTCTTGACCCAGCAGTATCGTAGGTGATCCCTCTTCGTAGATGAGATGCTCTTCTAAGTCGTGCAGGTGGGGGCAAGCTCGTATGACGTTACGTGGCACTGCTTGCGGCGATAGCTTCAAGTTGTTCATGGTGCGGGCCGTTATTGTATGCTCATTCGTGTCGCGCCCGCGCAGAGAAATGCGTACTTGTTGCGATTCGCAGGCGTTGATTCGTGTGCCGGCTACACCCTCAATGTAAAAGGGTGCTGGTGTACCCGCTGCGCCGATCCTTCTTGCTATCGCCGCCTCAATCAAGCTGCACGTTGACCCGTCGTCCAGTAGTGCGAGTGTGTTGCACGTACCCTTGGGGCCCCTCACTTGCACAGGGAGTACCTTCAGTAGCGCGGTGGTGTTGCTTCTGTCTTTTGCTGATGCCACAACAAATGATGCAGGAGCTTCTTTCTTCTCCTTTGATGAGGGTGGAGTACCATGCAGCAGTGAGTGATGCATGTACTCGCAACCGTCGATGCCGCACCTCTTGTTTTTACACGTATGGCGAAATTTGCGTGTCCGTAAACAGCGGAAACATAGCCTGTGTTTGCGTGCTATGTCCCACCTGGCGGCTACATCTGCTGTCTTCATTTCGTCGCATTGCGCCGCATGATGACCCGTCTTGTCGCAAATAGGACACGTAGTAACTTGTTCGTGCGCGGCTGGCTTCGCTATTTGAGTGTGGTAGCTCTTCATGGGTCTCCTGCCTGCTGGCTCCCGCCGGTCTTCCACAGGTGTGTTCTCGACGGGCGCGTAGCTCCCACAACGTGCAGCTGTGCGTTGCATGAACTCGGTCAGGGTTACTAGGTCAGGTTGGTATTCTGGCTGTTCCGCAGCAAAGTCATAGTATCGATAGCGCAATGCTGAAGGCAGCTTCTCAACCACGGCGCGCACTATCTCGGCGTTGTGTAGATAATGCGGTCTGTTTAGCGCCTTCAATGTGGCCGTGACGTTGATAATCTTCGATGCGAAGTTGCAGATGTCTCTCGGATGTTCGCCCAGACGTGGAAGGGTGCGTAGCTTACTCAGTTCGGCCAGTGCGAGCGCGTCCGAACGACCGAACCTTGATGTCAGTAAGCTCATTACTTCGTTGGAGGACGTGGCTCCGACGAATAAACATTGAGCTGCTTCCCTAGCGGTGCCTTTCAAGCTCCTCCGGAGCCTCGCCAGGTTCTCTTGTTCTGTGAGCAGTCCTGCAGATTCTTCATAGGCTGTCTTGAACGGCAGCCAGTCGCTTGACGAACCGTTGAATATGGGTAATTCTTGAAGTCTTGCAGTAGTGGGTTGAATCGCTCGTGCCGCAGTAGTGATCGCCGTTGCTAACTTTTCATAACATATGTCGCTCGGCGGCTTATGTTCCAGGTGGCCGTCGTTGTTACGATAGTATTGCGGCTGTTGTCTCTCACTTGTGTGCGTGACGTATGTAGAGGGGGGCGCTCCCCCCGCGTAGTTGGTGGGGTGGCACCCGGTCTCAGCTGTCGCAGGTGCCGCGTACGTGGAGATTTTTTCCTGGCGAATGACGTCGCGCGTCGGCGGCGGCGCCTGTGATTCGGCAGGTCTTCCCTTCAATATATCTTCCTTCGTACGTGTGGCGGCAGTGTAGTCTTCCTGCTCTTCTCTTCTCAACCCAATAGTGCTTGTGCGAATCCACTCCGTTGTGCGTTCCTCGCGGATCGTGGCTTCCTCCGGTTCGTCTTCGTCCGATTCCTCTTGCATTGCCGCGATCTTTGCAGATATTAAATCGATTTTCAGCTTCAATAATTCTTATTGCGCTTCCGCTAGCTGCCTACGACGACTGTTCGAAGAACCGAATCGAAAAGATCGAACAGATTTAGGAGAGTATATTCTCCGTGGTGCTTCACTTGTAGTGGCGCCGGCTTCGGGTCTCTCTACTAGTTGGGAGACTGGCGAGGTGGCAGTCGGCGCGGCGTCGATTTGTCTGATCGTTGCGTCGGTTTCCACAGTTGCACCGGTTGTACGTGTGGCGTACGTGGAGCGCGTGTGTTCTGAAGTTGTAGCGGTCTTTTCGGTCCCCGTGATCGTGTCGGTGCCCGTCGAACAGGTTGGAGCAGTGGACGAGGATTCTTGGGTATTCACGGGGTATGATTTTGCGCTTCTGGTAACTGGCATTGTTCTTTCTTGATGTAATCCGGCTGCTGAAGGACCAGAAAATGTGGGCGAGGATTAAGTAAAAAACGCCTGTTTGTAAATTGAGCTTCTTGATGTTGGTTTTACTTGGATCGCGGTGAGATTTGGAACGCCTTCGGATGGTGCAGTCAGTTTTGGAATGTCGTTCCGCTCCCAACGCTCCGTCTTTTATATCATCGCTGGCCCGCCGCACCGCTCGCATTCTTTTCAAGTGTGCGAGCGGGACGGCACCAATGCAGGAGCGGGACGGGAGAACCCTACAGACTCCAAGCAAGACCCCTCTCACCCTCTCGTTTATTTACCAAAATCTTAAACGAAATTAACAATAATAAATTACAATAATAAATTACAATATTATAAATCATATGGGCGCGAACACGTTTTCGTCCTGAACAACTACATCCCTCCATGCGGCACTGCACACGGTAATAAATACATTTGATATGTATTACCCTGTGCAGTCACAAGCGAGAGTAAGCTCATAAGTCAGTTATTTAATTTGAGAAGACGTTTTCAAAAAAAAGGAGTCCTTGAAATTAAAGAAAAAAAGCCACAAATTTCTGATCAGAGATCTGCAACTGCATCGTCAAGATCAGCCCCACCAATTATTGATACATTGTACAATATAAACAACATTGAAGAGGATCTTGCGTGGCTTGAGAGCAGCTCGGATCCCTGGGATTTAGTGCAATCAAAGTGGAATAGGACTTTACAAAAACGTTTTATGGATTTAAGACAGCCTGAATACTCAATTGAACAATACTTCAAATACTATCCGGCCTTACAAAATCTCAGGGATTTACTTTGGTAGGTAAACTTAACGTTCATCACTTTTTTGTTTTGTGTAGTCAACTCATACATGGATTGAATAATGTTGTAAGCTTTTTTTTTTTTTTTATTGCGACTCGGCAAAATGACTGCACCGCGCCTGATGGAAAGTGCGAATACAGTCCAGAGATGAGAGTAACGGATGGAAAACACAAATATCTTCACTCCGTCACTATCATTTTGCCGGTCTGGCCAAATGCTTCTTCACACTACGTTTGAAGGACCCGATGTTATAGAGGGGAGGGAATACATGCGCCGGGAGTTGGTTCCACAATTTGATGGTTCGGCATAAAAACGAATTGCCAAACTTTTTAGTGCGGGACGGTATTGAACTGACCGTCCAACTGTGGCAACGCAGTCCGGCACAGGTGGTCCGTTGATGGAAAGGAGAGGAAGGGATAAGATTGAATAACTCTTCAGAGCACTCACCGTGGTACAGGCGATAGAATACGCTAAGAGACGCTATATCTCTGCGAAGCTGTAACGACTCCGCATGCTCAGTTACATGAGGATCGTTGACAACACGGAAGGCGTAGCGCTGCAGTCCATCTAGGGCATCGAGCAAGTACTTGGCAGAGCCGTCCCAAAGGTGCGAACAGTACTCCATGCTGCTTAGGACCTGAGCTTTATACAACAGGTATCGCAGCTCTGGAGTAAAAAATCGGTGCACCTTGTTCAGGATGCCAAGCTTGCGCGACGCGGTTACAGATGACGCTCTCGATATAATCTTTGTTGCTCATGTCCTTCCGGATGCTCATTCCCAGTAGGCTGAGCTTGTCCTGCAGCATCAGCATTGTACCCTGAAGATAGGGAAGTGGAAGGAATGGGGATTTTTTGGAGCTGAACGCGCATACCTGGGTTTTCTTGGCGTTGAACTCAACCAAGTTTCGGGAGCCCCACGACGATATATGTTCCAAAACATGGTTGAACCCAGCGACAAGTTTTTCCCGGTTTCTCTCAGGGTCCTCCCGACTGCTTGACGATTGCATATAATAGCAACCGTGCACTGTGCTATCATCTGCATAGCAATGAATGTTGCCTTGAGGCAACAAGTCATTGATATGCAGAAGGAACAGCGTGGGCGACAGCACGGAGCCCTGTGGCACCCCAGCATTAACTGTCACGAGCCGCGAAGTGCCTCCGTCAACAAGGACACGCAATCTTCGCTCGCGCAGAAAGCCGGAGATCCACTCGCAAAGGCGGCCGGGAAGACCATATGCCGGAAGCTTGGAGAGGAGACCACGGTGCCAGACCCGATCAAAGGCCTTAGCAATATCCAGACTTATCGCTAAGGTTTCGCCCTGTTTGTCGATAGCTTCACCCCAGAGATGCATTAGATACGCTAGAACGTCACCCGTTGATCGGTTCGGCCGAAACCCGTACTGTCGATCATTAAGAATGGAGTGACGTTCCAGGTGCCGGATTATCTGGATATTTAGAATCCGCTCCATCACTTTGCAGAGCACTGAAGTGACAGCTATTGGGCGATAGTTTGTCGGATCAGACCGATCTCCTTTCTTGGGGATAGGTTGCACGTTGGCCCTCCAAGCTAGGGGCACGTTACCAGATTGGTATGAGAGGCAGTATAAGCGCGTCAGTACGGGAGACAACTCCGCCGCACACCTTTTAAGGACGATAGGAGGTATCCCATCCGGACCATAGGCCTTCCGCACGTCAAGAGTCTGCAATTCCTTGCGGACATCACATTGTCTGATAACTATATCAGGCATTGTGACTCCGCAGTGGGGAATTGACGGCGGTTGCGCATCTTGGTCGTGAATGCGCGAGTTAGCCCCAAATAGGTCGGCCAATAAATTGGCTTTCTCTTCGGGGCCATAGGCCAAAAATCCATTGGGACACCTCAAAGGCGGCAGCGACGAACGACAAAAATTGGACTGCACGGCTTTGGCCAGGCTCCAGTAGGCACGGCTACCGGTGGGATGGGC